ACCAAACACTCGCCCCACAGGCCACTGATGTCGATGATGGCCAGCCCTCTGTTGCCACCGATTAAGTCACCCGTCAGTATCACACCCAATAAGGACTCGAAGTCGGCGCTCACTTACCGCCGAAGACTGTTTGATGTCTACGAAGACGTGGCGGAGAGTCCGCAGAAGTCGGCGGCGGATAAGAAGGACGCGAAGAAGAGCCCGGCGTTCGAGAGGTTCGCGTATTTGGTGGACAAACGAGAGGACAATCACGCGAGCGGTTCACTAGTGTTGCCCCAGAAGTTCAAACTGTTGGCCGAAGTGTTCAAATCGATGGACACTGTGGTGTCGATGCACTACAAGCGCCAAGAGATCTGCACTTTCGATAAACTCAAGGATTCCGTGGAGAGGATGACGGCGAAGAAGTTTGACACCAAAAGGTTGGCACAAATACAGACAGTCTTCGGCACCGGATTTAAGCTGAAGTACGAGTTGTTCTCGAGTTATGCGGAGCGCCGGAAACCCAGCTATCAGTTGATAATAACTCCGGTGTATGACTCGGATGTGGACATACGGACCAATTCCATACACCTCTTGGAGAGGTATCAGCGGTTTGTGGCGAAACTCGTAGACATCACGAAAGGCCACCACAAGAAGTATTTGAAGGCATTGGGTCTTAATGTGGACGACAAAGAGCTGGTCCGATGGCACCCGAAGTTTAGGGTGGACTCCGTGCCGGACGTCACTCCCGATGACAACGCACTGCCAACGGAGCCACGACTCGGAGAGAAGACCGCCGAACAGGTGTTGGCGAACACCAGACAACGATTAGGCATATCATCGACTACTGTCACCGCGGATGACGACAAAGACAATGACACGAACTCTAACGACAATAAGACGTCTGATACTAATCAGAAGATTACGAAAGGATTACTTAAAGGCATTTCAATGGATCTGTTGAACAAAGTATGTATTGAAACGACTGTTAACTGAAACGCGGGACTAATTATCATATCATTTGACCACAGATTAGGGCCAAAGAAGCGGCAAATTTGGCCAAAGAGATGACCCGAAAGCCCGAAGTGGAGACAGAGCTCCGGATACTGCGATCGTTACCCGAATTCATACGAATCATTCACAGCTATATCGTGGGCTCCAAGAAGTTGGCCGTACCTTACGATCAACTCATCGACAAACTGATCACCAGTTTCACGAGCAGTCTGTCTATACTGCGGGCTAAGGAGCACGTGAGCTACCTGTGCCGCTTTATGCCCGACTGGATCTGTCAGTTGGAAGTGAAAAAAGGGAATTACATTAAAATCAATAAAGAGACCACACTTTCAGCACTGGACCAGAGAATCAAAACAAAGGTTAATCGCCTGAAGGACTGAATTATTTGTATTACCATTACTTGGATTTTAATTTTTATCACACATTGTTTTTTATGTCAGATTTACTTTAATTTTAATTGTATTTTATATTACTTTTTAATTACAAACCACTCTAATAGCGGTTTATTATACCAATCAATCGATACTTAAGTACTGTAATTGGGTTTTATTTTTTTTATAAAACAAATGTTAATTTATACGTTCAGTGAATAAGTTTTAGTCATTGCAATCAATAAAAATATTTAATTAAATTTAAATTAGTGTTAAATTCGCGTCAATTTTCGTCAACAAAATACACGATTTGAGTGCCAATACTCTGTTTCTTGCCATTGTCTTCAACACAGATATCATTTGTCTTGAGATCCGCACTAAGCTTTGCCTTCACTTTCATCTCAATCTTATCGTCTAATATGGTGTCGATGTTTGGTAGACGTCGGGGTCCGGCCTCCGGGTCCTTATACCTCATGAGCTTTACTTTCGACGGATCTAATCGAGTGATAAATAGACGTTAATTATCAGCTAATTGTCACATAAAGGATAAGATTAAACCTTTGATAAATTTGTTGTCTTTGCATATCCTTTCAATGACTTTGCGCACAGTATCTGAGCTATAGATGGGAACCTTTATCTGGAAATACGGTTTAGTCGGCTGTTGATTGACAGCAATTAGCGGAACCGACGGATCGACTCGAAACACAATGAATGGCTCTCCCGGACACGTCTCGTCTTGTATGCGCTCTTCGGCCGCGTCCGAGAACTCAATGTCCAGACCCTCTAAGTCCAGGGTTGACATTAAATACGCTATATTTTCGTTAAGGACGTCCCTCTCACTGAACGCTGACGTCTCGTTGAACACACTTTCGCCAAACTCTGCGAACATTTGCTGCGAATAACAAACATTTTATACTAAAATCTAAACACAATTCAATTCATTGATTACTTTTCTGTGTTCCGCGAAAGGCATCACTTTTTTCATGTATTTCTTTAAATCGGGAACTTTTGATAGTTTGGACGCAATTACACTGTTTTCCGGAAGTTTTTTCTTGTTATCCTAATAAACGACACAATTGTTAATCAAATGAATGACTTTAAAACAATAAAACTATTCAAACCTCGTATTCAGCTTTCATGGTATTCAAGATAATCGACTGCCACTTCGGGAACTGTTTGGCCACATAAATGGTTCCGTGGGTTGGCTTCGCGATCGGCGCCTTATTCTTGTCCTTCGACTTCTGCGTGAAGTATGTCTTCAGACGTATTCTGAAACTATGCGACGCGTCCATCAGATAAGCAAACGACTGGAGCAGCACTTCATCCACCACTTTAACGGTCGGCCATTTGGAAGTGTTAACACTTCCCGACTTCTTGAGCACTTCGGTCCACACGTACTCTGCCGTATGCGGACATATGGGCGACAATATGATCGCTTGGCTCTCAATGAACTTCATCACCAGATCCTTATGCATGCCTACGCTTAGACTCAACTCCCGGTACTTATCCCTCGCGTCTTGGAATTCAAAGAACCCGGTTCTCAGCGCTTCCTTGAAATTCATGGCCTTATAGTTGGCTTCTGTTTGAGTTATGCCACGATTTAGAGCACTATTTGATGACAATATCAACATTAATACCAAACAAACAGCAATCAAACAAAACACTCAATACTTTTCAAAAACTCTGTCGTCAAACGAATTGGTGGAACCGCTTCGCAATGCACTCAAGTTAGCCATCATTTCTTTGCTGAATTCAATGAAGTTATGGAGTTTCAGGAGTCCATTGTCCGCCTGTTTCTCAATGAAGTTCGCGTCGTCGATGCCATCGCCAGAGTCGGCCAAAGCGAACCTAACGCCTGGAAATACCGCACAAATTACTCATCAATTATCACCTCAACGGTCGACACCCTTACCATCAGCCGAGAACTTTTCAATCGCTTCCGAGAGAGTCAAGAAATTTCCGGTCGATTTCGACATCTTCTCGTTGTTGAGCAACAGGTGTCCGTTCGCTCGTATACTTCGGGGCCACAGCTCCGGCTGGTTCTGCCAAATGGCGCAGTGATTGTATATCATATAAGTTAAATGGTTGGGCACCAGGTCTTTGCCCGAAGTCCTTAGATCCAGAGGATACCAATAGTTGAACTCTTTGCGCAATTTATCCAATTTGTCTTTAGGTATACCACAGTCTTTCGGGTACAACACTTCCGAGAAGTAGATATAGTCCCACACTTTTGGGGTCAACTTCTCGGGTTTGATGCCTACCGGTGACGGCCCGCTGCCATCCATGACTCCGCCCTGAAGTAAGTGTGATATCGTATAGTAGGCCATATAGATGGTCGAGTCGGACAGGGATTCAATGAGCCACTCCTGAGCCCACGGCAGTCGAGAGCCGAGTCCGTACTGTCGACTACAGGCGTGATCTTTGAGCCAATCAAGAGTGGCCACAAAGTTCCTGCGGGTCTCGTCGTGGTATGTGTTGATCTGTGCCAACGACTTGTCCGCCTCTTCCCTCCACTTCTTCTCGCCGTACTCTAAGAACCTATTCATTGGACACAAACACTTAAAACTCATACAAATGTCTTAAAAACTAATTTTACTGACCATTGGTCGCACAGAGCGACCACACATTCATCGCCAGACCGGGAGACCACTTGCTTCTCGGGCTCCATATAAACCACAGCCTCTTTGCGGTCTATGAGCTCCGTTTGAATGGTTTTCTTGATGTCCGCCACCTTTTTCCCCTTATGCGGGCCCACAATCATCACCTAAACATGCAGTCAAACCACATATTAGACAACTGTCCACACAATTATGACAACCACTACTGACCCCGTCATAGAAGCCTTTGAGGTACACCTTATCTTTGGCTTCGGCTAACTTCTGGGTGTCGTTTTGGCTCTGGATCTTCAACTGCTCGCACACCACAACTGCCGACAAATTACCAAAATCAGGAATATCTATAATCGGAACCTTTGCGGTGACCACAAAAAAACAATCAATCAAATCGTCACAAACTCTATACTCCATGACCTACCGGTTCAAAGGGCAGCACCATATCGTCTTTGATGCCGTACTTCTCCCTCAACGGCTGTTTATTCTTAAGATCCCTGAGCGCGGCGTAATCGTCGGGTGCGTCAGAGGGCACACTCGTCACGACACCCGTTCCCTTGTCCTCTTTGATGGTGAGCATCGGGAGGGCGTAAATACACTCGTATGACGTGAGCGGCGCCTTAAGTTTGGCGCCAATGAGGTCACCGCCGGTCAGATCCAGCACTTTGTCGACGATTCCGTTCTCTTTAGTAAAGCCTTGGAACGAGAGGTTAAGCGCCGACCGATTGGTCGACACAAACACCTCTCCAGAAGCTACTCGGTATGCGATGTACTTCATGTCGGGCCGCAGCCAACAGTTGGTCTGTCCGTACATTGTCTCCGGCCTTAGGGTCGCCGCCACTAAATACACGTCGCCTTTGAGTCTGACATACATTACAAACACGCCGTTCATTAACCAATTGATCCCACAATCACTCAAACACTACTCACTTCTTGAGTTTCTCGGGCTTCGGGTCCAAGACTTTCATTTTGATGAGCGTATACTCCTGAGGGCCGACCCCCTCACCACTGGCCCGGTCGTGATCCATGCAGGGCTGGTTGTCCTTCACCGAGAAGATGGTATACCTCTTACCAAACTTAATCTTATTCCTCTCCTTCAGCCTCTGGAACTGCCACTTCACGAACGCGTCGAAGTAGGGGTTCCTGTCGGTGGTCATGAAGACCCGGCGCCAATCAGCGCGCAGTCCAAACGCGTTGAGGTCTTCGATCCACTTCTGCGGGAAGTATTCGCACCAATGGTTCGCGTCGGCGAACTCCTTGATCTCATCGTCAGTCAGACCCAGGGATCGCATGATATGCCACTGATATTTGGCTTTAATGGTCTTCGCCTCGAGTTTACTCCTCTTGGACTTCGACTTGTCTTTGATGGTCGGCTCGTCCGGTGTCGCGGTAGTGGTCGGCGGCTTGTCGTCGCTGTCGTCGGGAAACTGCGGCGGAAACCCGAAGTCCTTCATCTCGCGGCTCAGTTTGTCGGCGCAGGCCTTGATAGGCGTTCCCGTCAGATGGAAACCAAACGGCAATAGACAGCGCCGGCCCT